GATGGGCGTTCGAGCTGATCACTAATGTACGTGAGCTTTAGTGACTTCATGCCCAGAAAATCGAACACTTGGTTCATTTTTGAAAATTATTGCTCAACTTTGAACGCTTCATTTCTTGTGGGGTGGCTTTAAGTCTATTTTGTCATCTATAATAATTGACATCCATTATTCTCATGTCATTTCTACACCGATTGCTTTGCTACGTCTACATTGTTTGATATGTCTCTCGTCGTTTTCTCCTTCCTAGTGATTTTTTGTTTTCTAAAGATCAGCTATTTCCAGGAAATGACAGTGTTCCGATAACGACAAGCACTTACGACACAATCGGTCCAGCCCTGGATTTCATTCTCAAGGTAAGCCCACCGGAGTCTACCTGTTCAAGAGATCCATACCTACATAGGCAGGTTCAAATAAAGAAACCATTCCAAAGGGTAACCCCGAACGCCAACAATTCAAGACCTTTCCATTAGTGCTACTTCGGGGCCTTGCTATTTTTTGTAGTAACCCTGCTCTATACCAAAATATTCGGTACCTGTATCTGTAGGCGTCCCTGTTATGTTCAAGAGTTTCTTTCTTACCAGACTCTTTGAAGAGGGCTACTTGGTTTGTGCGAATCTTGAAAAATATAGTTCTTCTCCAGCATGATTTCACAGCAGGGTCAGTTAGAGTTGGATGAGCAACAATGAATTGGGCGGACCTTTGTTTGATGTAAAAACTGGATTCGCTGCGATATGATACAGGGATCAGAACACATTTCTTTTAACGATTAGTGTGTTCACATCTCAAGATTTTATGATACTTACGTCATTAGACCTTTACTTAATCCCGATCTTTTTCCGAGTTAGTCATTCCGACAGTATCAGAGCTCCCTACTGCGGTACATTCTGCTAACAGATATCAAAAATGAATTTTTCGGATTCCCGATTTCTACCTTTCAGACTCACTCCTTTAATTAAACTATATTCGGTACGTGAGCTTATGGCCTCCTGATCTTATCTATTTTAAGCTGAAATTCATTCCTACAAGTCTATTCAATCGATTATTGATTGAAACGGGAAGGGACAGAAGTATGACGCCAGAAACGGTAGATATTTAAAATTTTGTGGGTTATTCCTATCAACTATCCTTCCATCTACTAGGCGTATGAAGGTAAAGTGGGTGTGAAACGCCACCAACTGAACGAGAACCTCGTAAATTCATGGAACATTTGACGGACAAACTGACACCATTTGCCGTTAATGGCTCCGGCCAACCTAGTATTCCCCTCCGCTCGTAATATATTTTCGAGAAAATGATTTGTGAAATAAAACTATCAAAATCATTTTATTCCTGCAAAAAAATCGATGTCATCGACAAATTTTTCGAAAGCAAAATCAAACAAAAGTTTTTGAAAAATCATTTTTAGAAGATGCGGCTGCGTCGCTCCACGCGATCACGTCAGCGGCAGATCGACGAGTCATTCAACATATTCGCCAAGCGGAAAGCATCTGAAAATCCCAAGTAGGTCTACATTTTGTATTTATTCACCTTATTTGTTTATTGTAAACATCACAAAATGATTTAAGTTGAGCTGAAAACATACCCGGACACAGCAGACTGACGAGAAAAATGTTGAGAAGGCATTTAAAAAATTATCAACCTTATTCCGATTTCAATTCCCAAATTTTTCCTATTAAATCTAGTATTTTTTTTTCGGAAAGAAGTGAGATTCGAATGAGATTCGAAGATGGGTCTTACTAGGCAGCAAGAGTATAGCTCATTTGAATTCTGGAGCCAGTTAGGCGTTCAAATTAGTATTTTTATTACCGCAAAGGTTGCATCTAAAGTACTGTTTATGCTCTGCCTACCCACTCACCATTAAAGGGCCTGTATTTAAAAAGCCATTTGGAAAAAGCAAAGAATGTGCAATTTCGTTGCAATACAGATTGAAGCAATTCTTCAGTATCTTTCAAATATAATGGATAATTTTTATTATAAAAACAGACTGTTAAAAATTACGTTAGAATTGTTGCTGAGTTTTTGATCTTACTGTGATTTTGGACATGAGAATGAACCGAAATCTCCCCAAATTAAAAAGCATATGTATTTTATTCAGAAATTTTCAAAGAAACCATACATTTTTTAAGACTTTTTACTCCCTTCTAAACTTCTATCGACCTTACCTACGTTTTTCTTATTTGAGTATCTAAGTTTCCTTCCGACCTCTGGGTGGTGTTCTAGCCGGCTCGCTGCCTAGCTGGCGCAGTGGCTATTCGCTCCTATGGCTTATGTAATCTCCACAAGTTTGAATGCAGCTGAACCAACCTTGTATCTACCTATCTACTGAATCAGTTCGGCATTGAACCGGGTCTACGTGGAGGAACTGAAGTTCTAACGTCTGTAAAGACACTGCCCTTTATTCCACTCGGATGTTTCAACTCTTCTGTAGAAACGTCGATGATAGGTTCAACTTGAGAAAGGATTAAAAAATTCAACTTTCCCTTTTTTCTGCTTTTTTTGATTGTTGGCTAGGTAATTGATTGGATAACAAAATCAGAAGGATTCCATGCTTAACACCTATTAGCAATGAGCCCAGTAAAGCGAAACATGGAAGAATGCCTTCTTCAAGTCTTTGTCAATAATCTTTCTCTCCTCTCGTTTCTCACTCAACGTTTCCCTGCCCCCTTCCTTCCCGGTTCCTCTCTGAAGGCAACTTTCCTCCGGAGAATCCTAGTTTTTAAGTCCGCTCCGATTTGTCCACATTACTCAAGCATTACTTGAATACTGCTTACCAAATGGTGCATAATTCATGTCGTGACGTCTGCCTGCCGAAATGCTTGCCATTGCCATCCATCTTGGATTGTTTCCTTCAGCGACATAGCGCAAAAATACACAAAGAACTCTATCCGATGGGACTCCCGATGTGTTACATGTGTAATTGCGTCCAGTGCATCAGTCAAAAGTGCTTATTTCAAGTGCTCTCATTCGGTACTTGAATCTCACTGAAATGTGTACACTTCTTGTAATACGAGTGCACGAGTTGTATTTATTCAGCTCAGTAACACTTACAGATCAATCACAGAGAAATGTTTGAAGAAGCATCATCGGCCGGATCGTGGGCGATTACCCTTGGGATCGGTAACGCTTTCAATGGCCTGGAAATCTGTCCCGGCCTTCATCCCTACCCTGACATCTCCTATCCAGCTATATGTGGAAGCAAAAAGCTTTTCATGACTTTGTAGATTGCCCTGGACCTTTGTTAGTGACCAGGCAAAAGAGTAGTTACTAAATTCTAATTAGAATATAACGAAGCCTCTTTTTAATGTTGACAAATAGGTAGGACGTCACGCAAACCCACATTGGCCCCCTACTTTGAAATGTATTGAAAGTACAATGTACTCGATTATGTTGACGATGGCTGATTTCCACTGTATGACGTTAGCGGCATAGTGGATGCGAAGTTCCTTTTCTGAGGGTCAGTAAGGACATTCTATCGGGAGGTTGCAGTGCTGCAGGAAAGGTCGGACTTCGGACGAGATTCGGACTGGCACACACTCATCGTCTGCCGTGCTTACCCTTAACGGGACGTCTTGTTCCTATTCTCTATATTTATGATAAGAAATCAATGACAGATGGAACATAGAAGGAGAGTGGGTCGCAAATTTGATCCAGTCAGTTGGAAAGTCCTTGACAGAGATTGACGGACGGGATTGACCAATGACGGAGTGTTTCTCCTTTAACGTCCATAAAGTAGCAGTTCCAGTATTTACCAGTACTTACAGATTTTTATGTCATATTTCATACTATTAGTGTGTTATGTACTCAGAAATTTCTCAGTTTTCCACGCATGCCAACGTAAGATAATATGGGAATTCTCGTGACTCGACAGGCATGAAAAGTAAACTTATAAAACATTTAAAGACACGCCAGGTAAGATCATCGAAGCGTCTGGTGGTCTTTGAAAGATCCAGAAAAAAAAAGGTTCTTGAGGGGTTACACTAGGCAGTATTTATGCTGGGCAATTTTTCAGAGAAGTCCGTACTGAATAGTTTAGGGATTTGATATTTTTCTAGGAATCAGCTTCTGAGGAACTCTACTGCTTTCTCATTCGAGATTTTAGATAATCAACTCCGATTTAAGTGTTCAATGACAGTGAAAAGGTCAGGCTCGAGGGCAGAGGACAGAGATTGAAAGGGTGACTCCTGTGCCTCCTATCGATAGCATAGATTCCTGCCACCTATACTTCGTTCACGTGCCCAGGAGTGGCCTGACAAAGTTTTCGATCACAGAAATGTAATGGTCGGCAATTATTACCCTCGGGATTTGCTTTTCCTTTGACCAGGATCTTGAAGTTTGAAGCTGGATCATGTCTGGAGTAATGATGTTTCGTATCCATCCCACTCACATCGATTCTTTAGTACAGTGACGTTATCGGGAGAGCCTTCCGTTAAAATATGTTCTGGCTGGTACTGCCCACTAGCACATCTCGGCCCTTGTTGAGAGTAGAGTGACATGCGCAGGCACCCACAAGGTTCTTATTCTGGAGGTTACATTCAGTCTCGCTACCCGCTGGCCTACAACCTCACCGCGGGGGGGAGGGNGGTGGAACGTGCGGTGTGTGGACGTGTCCGTTCAACCACTCTCATTTTCTTAAAAAACTGGGTTTTGCAAATTCTCTAGTATTTTATCATGTTCTGGTAATTCCCAGTTATGCGAGGCTTCATGTTGACCAATTTGCCGCTTCACGTTCAAAGTTGTGGCCAGGTAGTTGTCGAAGAACTGATGGGATGACGGACCCTCTGTTATTCAGTTATTCACAGTTACACAGTTATTCATATGCCGAAAGCAATAACAAAAATGGGCCCCATTCCCCTGAAGGTGGGGAGCTTCGATCGGTGTTGGGTAGGACCGCTCGGCAGAGGCTTCTAAAACCTCAGGTCCGTGGCAGGCTACCTAAAAGGAGAAGGACTAAGATGGCCATCTGTGGTTTCGATGCACGAACGCTCGCATGGAAAGCGTGCATTGAAGATCTGATGTTGCAAGCCAGGAAGATCAAGTACGACGTCATCGGATAGACCGAGACGAGAAAGCACCACCCGTTGCACGCTTTTGAATTTGGAGAAGAACTGTTCCTCTGAACATGGCACAGCAGAGGTGTTGGCTGTGTAAGTGTCTCCGTCAACACCTAATTGGCTATGAACATCGATTCATGCGAAAGCTTGACAACCCGATTCGGGTGTTTGCAACTGAGAAGATGTGGCTCAATCCCAGCTCTAACAATCTTCGTTGTTTACGCACCAACATCGAGCTACGACGAAGAAGAGCTGGATGCAATTATATGGATTTGGAGCCTACAAAAAAGACCATACTTTCTTCAAGGTCATCGTTAGTGATTTCAATCCCAAGACCGGCCCCAGAAGTAGGGCTGTAGAGCTCCATATCGCGACTCACGGAATGGAATGGAATGAGCAGGGTGAAAGGGTGTCCGAGTTCATCATGTCGACCCACACTACCCATGGTAACTCGTAGTTCCAGAAGCCCTCTCATTCCCGATGGACATGGGAGTCACCTGGTGGACGATTCCGCAATGAAACAGATCACATCATCGTCAAACGAAAATTTTGCCTGACTGACGTCACTGTTGTTGCGAGTCCTACACGTGATTGGACCATCCTTCCTCCGCGCTAGACTCCTTTCTTGAAAGAGAGGGAGCTGCTAAGTGCAGGAGACGATGTCTGTTGGCAATTGGGATCACTTCGGTTTGTTAGCGAGTTTGTGGGAAGATTCCATCAGCGAGGAGAAGAAGAATAAAAGAAGAATGGAGAATACGACTGGCTCGTCGTGCATTTTCACTATTGTGCCAGGAAAGCTGAGAATTTCAAAGATGTCAAGAAACGTCTCTCTTCGATGACTCGAGCTGATACGCCAGCTGGAATAGCGTGAGCTGCAGGCAATAACCAGCCAACTTACGAAATTGCGAAGCTATGCAGAGAAGCGGTAAAGGAGGAACTGAAAGAAAGAAGAGCAGCGGTTTTGACTGAAGGCCCGGAGGCTGGGAAGAACATTCACAACGCTTGCCGAAGCTTCTGCAGTTATAAGACCAAGATGACTTCCTTCCCTGATCCTGACGGAACTGCCAGTGCATCCTAGGAGAAGGTCATCAACGACTTTTACTCTGATCTCTACGGCAGTCACGTCTACCTGCCTACCTGCTATCTTAGGCGAGACGGGTACATCGTCTTCAGTTCTCCCTTTCAAAATTCGACATGCCACGCCGATGAGGAATGGAACAGCACCCGATCCCGACAGGATCAAAGCAGAACATCTGAAGAGCCGCCCGCCAGTCATTATCAAAACCTTGGCTTTTCACGCGTTACTTGTCGGGATGCAAAGTGCTCTCATGGCCGTAGATGAAGGACAGCCATGAGAGGAAGCAGAGTTTCGTAGAGGATCCAGTACAATCGATCACATCCAGTTCGTTACAAGACTTATTGAAGTATCGCGAGAGTACAAGATGCCGCTATG